GGTCGCCGCGGCCCTGCTGGCTCTGCGTTGGCTCCATTCTCAGGTAGCCGGTCCTCTGTTACTGGCATAAAAGCCTCCAAGGCTCTAGGTTCAAGGTCAGTGGCAAAGCATGAAAGTCTCTTTTCCCAGAAACTCTGGCATGAGTTCCATTGGCTGAATGGTTCACAAGCCCATGCCTAAACCAACTGAGATACCGAGGTCTCATGACTGCGTGGGCTGAGACCCAGGATACATGCTGCACCCACAAGCAGGGATGGGTCCCACAAGCTGAGAGGGGAAGGTAAGACCCCTCAGAGGGGCCACATCATGCAAGCATTTCACTGAAGCACTACCTGTACTGTTGTCCCCACCCCCCGAGTTTACAGTCAACTAGAACCTCTTGGAAAATGCACATCCCCTCCCTCACTATCCACCCCACTCCCACCCCCAATGGATCATAGAGCCCTTTGGGTCTACTACCACCTCTCATGTCCTTTGTCCCCTCCCATCCAAGTCACCATGACTCTAACACCTGGTCCAAAGCAATAATGTCTAAATTCACTGTCTACACGCTTACATTTTTGTTCACCTGTCATGCCATCTGATGAGTTTAGTCTTCTGCTAAAAAGTCATCCAAGCCCATTCATTAAAATCCAGGGGCCACACGACCTGGTCTTGGCACCTCTCCAGCTTGTTCTCTGTCCACCACCAATCCTCACTCTCTGAGCTCCCCAAATTCTCCAAGCTCCTCCCTGCCACTGGCCTTCTACATTCTGCCCCATCCTCTGAGGAAGCTCTTGCCCTTGCTCATCTTCAGGGTCCAACTTTGGTGTCCCTTTTTTAGCCAGGTTTTCCCTGACCCTCCAACATTAGAATTCTGTCCCAGAACCCTGCATCCTTTATTGCACGTATCTGAGCTCTAATTTTGCCTTTATTTAGCACCTTCCCTCTTAATAAAGGCAGCAACCTTATTCTATCCACAGTGCTCCTCACTTCAGACCTGTGCAATTGTGTTATTCAGAAGGTTAAATAAATTGTATTTCAAGATTCATTATAGAGTTAGAATTTATTGATGGTCTGGCTTGGCCAGGAGCCCCTGGTTCATGGGGTTCACTCAAGCACAGGAGAAAATAAAAGTCTTTTGAGGACCTACAATATTAAATATGTATATATTTTTCACTTTAATTTTTGCAACAATCTTTTGTGAGTACAGTGTTTTATCTTTATTTCGTAGATGAGGAAACCGATGGCCAGAGAGCTAAAGGGATCCCCCAGACTCATGTGGCTTAGAAAGAGTAGAGTTAGGGATCCACAGAAGTTACCTGGACCTCAAAATTCCAGGTCTGATTGGAATTACGGGAAAGACAGGGGCATGCTCCCTCTTTCAACTATGGAATTTTGAGTAGGCCAAAGTCAGAAATGAAAATGAACATAAAAGTGAAGTCCTGTAGATTTTGTACTGTTGGTTGCAGCAACAGTAGCCCCAAGAGCACCGGAATGAGGGCAGCATAGAATGTGGGCAGCTGACTTTTTAAATGACATATTTCAGGTTTTCCTATCCATTAAAATAAAATCCAGGGGTGTTGAGTGTCCTGCAGCATAAAGAAATCGAGTCTATCTAGTCTTTCTGTTCCACTTTTGATGGGATTTGTATGTATTGAGTCATGCAGGCATAAAATTAAAGGAGACAAATCATCCCATTTCCCTGTTGCCCCAGCTGCAATGATAGGCAAACTAGTCTCCTTCCCTTTTGACTCTTACTTCAAAGACTGTGAGTAAATGTGTGTTTGGCACAGGAGGCTCTTCAAGGGGTAGGAGTACTTACTTGAGGAAGCTGTGCAGCGACTGCAGCGGCTAGCCCGGCTAGATGAGGATGGAGACGGGCTTCTTGGTCCTCTCAAATTATTTGTGAGTGATTCCTGCTAATGCTACACTTCGAAATTTGTTTTAAAAATCTTGTTTTGATGTTTCTGTAAAGTAAATCCACCCCTCCCCCCACACTCTATATACATATGTGCTTAATGTGAGAATAATGCTAAAGGGAACGTGGGAGACAAATGCTACACAGGAACTGGCGAAGAAAAGGAGGGAACACGGCCTTTTAGCACTGGGACTGGTGGCGCCTCCTCCATCCCATGAGTCTGGGAAAAGGACGCACGATCCAGGCACGTTTAAACTAAGTAAGCTCTGGCCAGTGCTGGGCAAGGTGTGGTTACATTTGCAAAAGACCCAGAGGGAACAAGAGAGTCACCAAGTTGTTGAATAAAAGAAAAAAAGCGAAAAACACCCCCCACCCCCTAAATAGACTGCCCAAAGGGATTGGGAATCATTTCATCTAGGAAAAAAAAAAAAAGGAAAAAAACACCCTTTGATAGGGTAGAAAATAATGCTGAGGGTGCTGAATTCATCTCAGGTCCTATATGTGTAGGAGCCTTGGGTGCCAAACACCAAGACCAGGTGAATGATGTCAGCAATCACACTTTTATTGAGATGTCTATCAAACGCCTTTTCAGTGCCAGTCACTGGTTATTGTGGATACTGTGGGGAACAGAGAGACATGGTTAATGCCCTCCTTGAGCCTACAGTCTAGTTTAAAGAAGCACAACACAATGTGTTAAGTGCAGAGATAGAAGCACAAGTTCCCCTGGAGAGCAAATAGCCAGGATTCCGGAAAAATTTCCAGACAACTGGGAACCTGAAGGATGACACCGGTGGTGGTTAGCTTTATGTGTCAACTAGACTAGACTACTGTACCTAGTTATTTAATCAAACTTAGCTAGGTGTTGCTATAAAAGTATTTTTGTAGATGTGGCTACCATGTACCACAGTTGACTTTAAGGAAAGATTACCCTGGATGATGTGGGTAGACCTCATGTAATCAGTTGAAGGTCTTAAGAGCAAAGAAAACTGAGGTTTCCCAGAAAAGAAGTAATTCAAGACTGAAGTATCAACTCAACTGAGTTTCCAGTCTGCCAGAGCAGCCCTAGGGATTTCAGATGGACTTGCCAGCCCGCACAAGCGTGGGAGCCAATTCCTTAAAATAAGTCTTTTTACACATACACCCTATTGGTCTGTTTCTCTGGAGAACTCACTGATACAGTGTCTTGCTCATGTAAGGTTGAGTAAAGGACTGGGGAATGTGTGAGGGGGGACAGTACCCAGGAAGGCCTGGGATTGTAGGTGACCTAGAGAGTCTGAAAGGGTTTTAAGCCGGAGCTAGAGGACCAGATTCACCTTTTAGAAAGGACATCCGATTACCTTGTTATTGAGAGCAGAAGTCAGGAAAAACATATTTAATTCCAGCAGGAAAGAATGATTAACAAGGAGGTCATTTTTAATAGGAGAAAGAGGTGCTGAATCTATTCCCGAATTTAAAAAAATGATTTGACATTTTAAATCATTGATGGCCACGGTCTGCAAAAGGGTGACGTTCTTTTTACCACCCGGAGTCTCTCTGCTCTCCCTTACCTCCCCGGCCTCCTGGAAGTTTCACTCCTTTCTCGGTCTGTAGCTTCCACCAGGAAGCCCTCCCTGTTACCAGGTAAAGATCCCAATGCAGCCAAGCAGCCTTTCTGGAAGATAAACGGTCTCATACAGCGGCGGAGGTGGGAGGGTGAGGTGAGCTGGGGATTCCCGCGGCCACAGTGGACAGAAGTCGCGCTACGGCGTGTGTGGGGAGTGTTCTCACCGCGGCAGCCTGGGCTCTGCCCATCCCTCCTCTGCAGGTTCGGTTCCCGCGCGCGCGCGTCCCGGCGAGTTCGGCGGCCCCCGCGCGTGATCTACGAGCCTGGGCGGGGTCTGGTGCTCGCCAAGCGGGGATCTGGACGCGGAGGTGTGCGGGGAGCGCCCAGTCGGACAGTCCGAGGTCTCCCACCCGCCGCTCTGCCGAAAACATTCGCAACCCCTGTTCCAGGCAAACGGGGCTCCTCTGAGCGCCTAACCAGTTTCTCCTCCATTCCCTCTGCATCCCTCGATGTGTTCGCCCTGGCTCCCGGTGCGTTCCCCATCCCTTTGCTCCAGAACCTTCTGCTCAGAGCTCCTTGCCCAGGGCAAGCCCTCTTGGCAATGGAGTGGGGGTTGCTGGTGACTTGATAGCCCTTCCCCAGGCGTAGACTAGAAGAAGCCAGCACCCTCATTACCGCCCCCACTCCAGGGGTCTCAGGGCGCCCAAAAGGGTCCTTCTCTGTACAACCCTGGGGGACTAAGGGCTTGGGGACCCTCGCCCCAGATCTGGGTTCTACCCCCGCACCCAGACTGGGGAGGAGAGCGCCTGGAGCCCTGCGTGCCAGACAGCGGGAGTGGGGACCGGGGGGGGGGGCAGGGTTAGTGGAAGGGGCCGAGAGGAGAAGAGGCAGCAGGTGAGTCCAAGAGCCGCGTCCCCAGGCGGGAAGGCGGGCCGAGCGGGGCTTGGGCCGGGAGCACCGGGCAGGGCGATGCAGGCTGGGTTGGGCGAGGAGGGCTGCGGAGAGGCGAGCCCGGCGGCGAGAGAGGGTGTGGGGAACAGGCGAAGAGGAGGGAGTTCCGAAAGGAGGGGGAGCGCCGGCCAGGGCGAGCGGAGCGAGCTGCCAGGGGGAGCCGCGGAGGGCGGCCGGGCCGGTGCCGCAGCCCGCGCGGGGCACGGGGCGCGGGCTCGGCCGGGGAGACACACAAAGACATGCGAAGAGGGGCTGAGCGAGGCTCGCGCACAAAGACGCCGGGGCGCACGGCCGCTCGGGCCGCACCGACCGCCCCCGCGCCGCGCCGGGGCCGGGCCAGCGCCGAGCCCGGGGCGGAGCGCGCGGCGGCGGCGGCGGCGGCGGCGGCGGCGGCGGCGGCTGCGGGCCGGCGCGGGACCCGGGTCGCCCGCGCTCTCCGGGTGACCCGGGGCCCGGCCGCAGGCGCGCGCGGGGGCGGCGGCGCCCGAGCCCAACTTGGCCTCGGCCTCGCCCTCTGCCCAGCCCGCCGGTGTCCCCTCCTTCCCGCGATTTCGTTTCTTCTCACGCTCCCCCCACCCCCTCCCGCGTCCAGCCCCGCTCTCCCCACCTTGTAAAACAAAGCCGGGAAGATGCCTGCCCGTGCAGCTCGGAGCGCGCAGCCCGTCTCTGAATAAGAAGTGAGTACAATGGCGTGTTTGTGAAAGGTTCGAGTCCGTCTCTTTCAAAAACATTTCGAATGCTGCATGCCTCATGCTTCCCAGCGCCTCGCCGGAGAGAGCCGGCTCTAGAGCAGGAGGTGAGACCCCGGGGACCCCTCCGCTCCCGCCCCGCGCTTTCCCGCCGCAGCCTGTCGGGGACGACGTCTTCCTCCTTCGTTTCCCGTCCAAGGTGCTGGGTCCTAATCTGGGGCTGGAGGCAAACCTGTCCCCGACCCACTCCTGGCTCCTCTCCCCCTCTCCCGCTGGCGCCTGGGGGTTTGCATCTACCTCGGGAATGGGTTTGAGACACCTGGGGGGGAGTTTCCGAAGGAGGCGGAGGGTCCGCCCTTGGGAGTAGCAGACAGGCGGGCGCGTGGTGACCCTGGCCACACTTGTTGCCCGTTGCGTGGTGGGACAGGCAGTGGTGCTGAAAAAAGCTCCTTCCTCCTGGTGTTGAGTCGTCCATTGATCCCGGGGGCGGAGTGCAGAAGACATACCTAGGTGAGGATGGGGGAACAGGGTGAAGAGGAGGCTGGTGTGCTGGGGGCAGAGGAGGGAGGTGGTGATGGTGCCCAAAGTGTGTGGAGGGGGCCGGTCTCTGACTCCAGGAGCTTCTCTTCCTGATCACACACCAAAGGACAGAGATGGAAACGCAGAGGGTTCCCCATGTTAGATGGAGATGGAGACTGTTTTATTTTATTTTGCTATGTTACCAGTTTCTGCCCATTCTGTCTGCCAAATGTGCATGATATGTGTTTCTGCTAATTAAAGAATATGGCAATAGCTTAAAATAAACTCCACCAGGAAATGTATTAGCTTAACACACACACAATCTTTAAAAAAATATATATATCTATATCTATATGTGTGTGTGTGTGTGTGTGTGTCCTCTTCTTCCAAAGGCACATAATGGTAATGTCTTAGTTTGGCTTGGGATTTAGGATTGGGATTTGGGGAGCATCCAGGTAAACAGTCTTGGTGTTTTCCAGTTCTACAGACTGGAGACCACAGACATGAAAAATCAGAGATAGGAGACGACAGAGAACTGGAAAGGAAGGCCTGGGAAGCTTTTTCAGAGAGATAATGTTAAGCTTCTATGTGATTTTGTTATTTTTATTCAAAAAATGGCTTAATTTTAGCTTATGATCTTTATTTTTCACTCAGACTCATAAAGCAGCTTGGAGGTCGGGTGGGGTGGCTAGGCGGCAGATGACAGTGATTTTAACCATCACTAGCATTTCTATTAAAAAGTTTTTGGTTAAAAATTAAAATACTAAACACATATGCAGTGCCTTTATAAACATTAGATGTTAAAGGTGTCTGCTAGTCTGGGCTGTATTCGGAACAGGTGAGTATCTCAGGAGAGAACTGTGTGCATACCTGTACGTAACAGGTGGGGTCATGGGAAATAGCTGTAAAGTACGTATGTGGAGTCTCCACATACATCCGGTACAGTTGCCTCATCACAGCTCTGACTTCACCTCTTCAAAGTCAGAACCATTCGGAGCTTTGCTGGTGGAGGATCCCTCTGTTATCTGCCATCATCTTACAAGGATGCTTTAGCTTTGGTGCTTCAAATAGCTTTGTTTGCAAAGCTTCTTTTTTGATGGGAAACTGAAGATTGATTTTATGAACTCAAACTGTGGTAGTCCTGTATTTAACTCAGTGGGAGGCATGAGGGCAAAGTATGTAGCCATGTGAAAACTGACACCCTCTATTCAGGTAATTTCAGGTTCCTGTGGGGTATTTGGGCGCAATTCCGTAGGGATTTCTCACATGCCCCAAAGTGTCTTTTAGATTAGGTTATCATTTTATTAAACCTGTATTATATACACTAATTTTACTTATATCTATAACAATTGTGGACATTAAATTGATTACTCTAGTTGAGTTGGTGGTGTTTTTAAGTCCCTGATTTTTTGGCCATTCTATTACGCCTTTTGGTTCAATGTTGTTTTTCCAATCAAATATATTGTGGTAGATGGCTTATTTTCCCCTTAGCAAATAGAAGTCTAGAATCTCTTGTATTTGCTAAAAAGGAATCCATTAATGATATTTTTGAACAGCTGAGATGAATAATAAATGGATTTAGAGTCACCTCAGAGTATATGGGAATTTGTAAGAGAACACATAACTTCATTCTAATGGAGCAATTAGCTTTGTACAGAGAACATGAAGGGTCCAAGGTGTGAGACAAGGTTTTAATTTTTTTTACATACTGTTCACTGTTGAAATGGAAGGAACTTGTCATGTCTTGGCTCTACCAAGGATTTTTGTCACAATGGGTAGCAATACTTTTGTTTGTATAAACATGTCAGAGATTGAGTAACAAAATATAGAGAATGCTTAATCACGAGCTCACGGTAGAGAAAAAGCAAGAATAAATGATTGAGCTATTGTGGTTTATTGACCATCATGTATTACCAAAAAATTACCAATGATGTACTTCGAGCATAATGTTTGGGTCACAGATTTACTTATAATACAATTCCTTTATTATAATGAATTTTTAAATAAAAATAGAGAATGTTATTTACATTGATTGCAGTGGCGTAGGGTATTAAGTACTTGAGAAGGGGAGTGATCCATGGGCCTTCTACATGAGCATTCAAATATCTATACTTTAGTATCAACTCACAGGAGTTCAGTCAGTCTTTGTCGATTAGCATGGTGAACAGACAGACATTTGGAAATTAATTAGGAAGACCTCAGGCTTTCATTTTTTTTAAGATTTCTTGGTCCACCTCCTGTTGTTTCCCTCCCATCTGGATCCCCAATAGCAGCAGAGAGCTAAGGCCCAGCCCCTTTTCTTTGAGCCCACATATAGGGTCCTGGGTGTATTTCTGGCTTAGGTTCCAGAGCTTCCACCAGGAGAGCAGAGTTCAGCCAGCCTCCGCTGACCCCTTGACCAGCCCAGCCTCCTCCAACCTAACGCTCCTTCTCTGTTGTTGTCAGTGGCGGCACCTGACTTGCTGGATCCAAAATCTGCCGCTCAGAACTCCAAACCGAGGCTCTCGTTTTCCACGAAACCCGCCGTGCTTGCTTCTCGGGTGGAGAGCGACGCGACCATTAATGTTATGAAATGGAAGACGGTCTCCACGATTTTCCTGGTGGTCGTGCTCTATCTGATCATCGGAGCCACCGTGTTCAAAGCGCTGGAGCAGCCTCATGAGATTTCACAGAGGACCACCATTGTGATCCAGAAGCAAACCTTCATTTCCCAGCACTCTTGTGTCAACTCGACTGAGCTGGACGAACTCATCCAGGTAATGGCACAGAGGAGTTGTTACTCCACTTACTACGGGGAAAGAAAGGGTAAGAGTTCGAGTAGATAACTTGAATGCAGGGCCATCCCGATGGGCCCTTGGGGGCCCTCGTCCACCCTTCTCCTCGGCGTAGACTCCTTTCTGCGCTTCTTCCCTCTTTTCTTGCATCTGACATCCTTTCTTCTCCTTTCCCTTTGTTTCTCCTTCCCATTGTTCCTTTTCATTCTCTTCTTTCCCTGCTCTTCTGTATTTCTGTCCTGGCGTCTCCCTTTCTTTCCCTGTGTCCTGCCTTAGAATGGCCAATGGACCCCGTGGACTTGGGGTGACCTTGCCGGAGGCCATCCTGGTTAAGTGATCATTGCCGACTGAGACACTTCACTGTGGCAAATGCAAGGAAAACATAAGGCAGAAAGAGCATGTTCACTGTGGCAGGGACCATCGTAAGATGAGGAAGATGAGTCTGTGGTGTGCTCCTCTTGAGTCTGTGGTGGGCCCACCTTACGGTTAACAAGGTGTAGCCCCTCTCTTCAATCCAGCCAAAGTGTCACTGATAACTGCCCTTGCTGGGTGTCTAGGGAGCAGTGTTAATCATTGCCTCTAAAAGCAATTTACCTGTACAGAAAAACAGAGTTTCTGAATGAAAACTAACTCTGTTTTAATTTACTCTATAATAGCAGAATAGTATCTTTATAGAAAAGCATTTTGTTTTAAAATTTAATCCCAAAATGACTTAAACATTTCAGTGAGGCTCCTTGGAGATGGCTGTTTTTTCGTTGTAGATCTTCTACATAAAATGTAAGTCAAACCAAGAATCTTGGACAAGAAGGAAGCCCTAGAACTTTCTTTTAAGGAGAGTTAAACGAAAGAGAACATTGTTGTTGTTTGAGAACATTCTTCTTTGTCTTATAGTTGGTTGTACATCGTTTGAATGAGTTGAAATAGTAGATTGAGGGAAGAAATTATTGGTTTTAATCCGAGTTCTTGTTCTAAGACCTTTCCTCGTTTATTTCCTCTTGCCGCGGATTCCCAAATGCTACCTCTGCCCTTCATAGCCCTCTGTGTTTATAGAATACACAACAAGTTACTCTTATTCAAGTTTTGTTCAAAACTATCAAAGCTAATATTTTCTGACCTTCATTTAGCTCCTACCACATTCACACACTGCTGCATCTCACTTAGATGACTTAAATTTTGAAAAGGCTCCTTTGGAAAGGTATTTTTATTTTACTTAAAAAAAATTTTTTTTTAATTCTCACTCGAGTACATTTTTTTTTGCATTTATCTTCAGATAGAGTGGGAGGGAGAGAGGGAGGAAGAGAGAGAGAGAAACATCGATGTGAAAGAGACACATCGAGTGGCTGCCACCCACACGACCCCAACCTGGGCCGGGGACAAACTGCAACCAAGGTATGTGTCCTTAGCGGGAACTGAACCTGGGACTCTGGTCCGCGGGCCAACGCTCTAATCACTGAGCAAACCAGCCAGGGCTGAAAAGGTATTTTTAAATGATAGTGACATGTTTAGTATTGACAGTAACCCAATAACTAATATCATTGTCCCACCCATCCCATTGCCTCTTCCTACGTAAGATCGTGACCACTCCATCTCTTTGTGCCTCATCACCCTAAGAGGTACCAAACATCTTCAGTGAATCCCCAAGTGCCTTGGGTTTCAGAAGAAGAGCTCCAGGTTGTGTTGGAGGTAGCCTGGAGTAGTGGCAAAAGCCTGAACTTTGGGGTTAGACAGATGTGTTTTAGTTGAGTACTTTTCTAGAGGTGCCCTCTTGAACAAGTGGTTTTGCTCTCTGAGCTTTAAATGACTGACCTGCGCTGCAGAAAGAATACCTATAAACAGCGTGGCTGCGAGGAGTAAAGAGATGATCCAGTACAGCATTCACGTGCTGAAAAAGTGTTAGGGGTGTTTGCTATTGTTGTTCCCTTCTTCCCACGCCCCCACCCCACTCCTCTTTTTGGGTTGAACCGTCTGATTCTTATCATCTGAAGTGAGATGTGTTTGGCTGTGGACAGGGAAAAAAAACCTGGGATTTCAGGACAATGCTGGAGGAAACTGTGTGAATTCGGAAATGGTCCCAACGCTTAGCACCACCCAGATTTGGTTAGAGTTGTGAACATAACTTGAAGGCCTTGGCAGGTGGAGACAATCCCGAGATGGAGACTGATCATTTTCGCTACATTGTTTTCGGAATGGCAACAAACCGAGCTGGATATATGACCTCTTCTTTTGTTGTTTCTTTCTGCCCTACAGAGGCAGTCCACTTCAGCTTTGTTAATAGTCACTGCTGGTCGAGTATTTTTGTGCTTATTCAGTACTTTTCTATGTAGAAGTTGCCCATTGTTTATTGTCATATCACTCACCCTTATAACTCTCTTGCTTTAATCAATTTTTTTTCCCTTTTTGAGTAGAATTTCTTTTTTCTTTTTTTTTTTTTTTATCCTCACCCGAGGGCATTTTTCCATTTTTTGTTCAGGTAGAGTGGGAGGGAGAGAGAGGAACAGAGAGAGAGAGAGAGAAACATCGATGTGAAAGGGACACATCGAGTGGCTGCCACCCGCACAACCGACCAGGGCCGGGACAAACTGCAGCCAAGGTACATGCCCTTAGTGGGCACCGAACCCGGGTCTCTCAGGACCGCAGGCCGACGCTCTAACCGCTGAGCCAAACCGGCCAGGGCGAGTAGAATTTCTTTTGATAAAAGAAATCTTTATAATGGCATGGCTTCAAGGACCAAGATCGGTGTTTTAATAGGAAGGAAGGCAAATGAGCCAGTAGTCATCCTTTAAAACCTCATTAATACATACATTCTGATAACTTTGTTTCTGGAGATTTATTCTGTTCCTTTGAGTGATGCTTCCTCGTGGGCCTTGTCACTTTGTGTTGTGATCTACCCATTTGAAAAGACAGCCACCTCTCTCCGTCCTTACAGACTGAGTATGTACAGGGAAAGGCCTTCACCAGTGAGCCCAGCTCGAGAGGCCTCTCCAACCTTTGTGGTGGATTCGTCTTCTCTGGACTCGTGCATGACAAACCCCAAGGAGATGGATGTGCTCAGGTTTTCTCAGGAGCTTATACTCTCTTGCTACCTCTGGTGTCTGTCTGCAGTACTGCAGGTTCTCTGGAGCTGCTTGATGCCACTCAGGTCTTTCATTCTCAGTGGTCCCCAGGATTCTCGAGTATGCTGGATCCCATCAGGGCTCTGTGTTGGCGAAACAGAAACCGTTCCTTCGGGCAGCACCCCAATAAAGTCAGAATGTTGGACACACGCTCCACTCTTACCTTGTCCCATGACGGAGAGGTCCCCAGGCCGCGTTGGCCTCTGTCTGCTGTACCAGGGTCCTCTGGAGCCGAGGCAGGATGCCCAGCTCCCGTTGCTCTCCGTGTCCCCCAGGCATCTAGAGTGTGCTGGGTCTCATCAGTGCTCTGATACAGGCAAGATGGAAACCGGTCCCGTGGGCAACGCCCTAAAAACCCCGAACATCAGATGCACATTCCAACTCTTCTTCCCAGGGAGAAGCCCGGGGCTGGGAGTTTTCTTCTGATCGTGCTGCACTGAACTGGGAGAAAGACTGTGGTGATCTGAAAGATAACACAGACATGTCCTGGAGTGGGTTAGGTTCCAGACCACCACGGTAAAGTTAATATTACAATAATGCAATCCCACTTTTTGTTTGTTTGTTTCTCAGTGCATATAAAAGTTATATGTGCACCATACTGTAATCTATTAAGTGCACAACAGCGTTATGTCTCATAACATTATAAATACCTTAATTAAGAATACTTTATTGCTAAAAAATACTAACCATCATCTGGGCCTTCCGTGAGTCATAACCTTTTCGCTGGGGGGGGGGGGGGGTCTTGCCTCGATGTTGATGGCTGCTGACTGCTCAGGGCGGTGGCTTCTGACTGTTTTCATGTCAGTTGGCTCTTCCTTTCATGACTGCTTTCTCTGTAGCACATGATGCTGTTTGGCAGCATTTCGCCCACAGTAGAAGTTCTTTCAGAATTGGAATCAGTCCTCTCAAACCCTGATGCTGCCTTTTCAACTAGGTTCATGTAAAATTCTAAATCCTTAGTTGCCATCTCAATGATCGTCACAGCATCTTCACCAGGAGCAGATCCAATCTCAAGGAACCACGGTCCTTGCGCCTCCATAAGAGCAACTCCTCCTCTGTGCAGGTTTGATCCTGAGACGGCAGAGATTCACCTTCAGGCCCCACTTCTAACTCGAGTTCTCTTGTTGTTTCCACTGCATCTGCAGTTACTTCCTTCATGAAATCTTGAACCCCTCAAGGTCATCCATGAGGGTTGGAATCAACTTTTTTCACACCTCTGTTAATGTTGCTATTTTGACCTCTTGCCAAGAACCCTGAATGGATGTTCTTAATGGCATCTGCAATATGGGATATAGAGACACTAAGTGAGCAAATGCTGTTGGAAAAAAAAATGATGCCAATAGACATGGTCGACACAAACCTTCAGTTTGTAAAAGAACCACAGTGTCTGCTTTGCATTTACTTTGCTCTGATCCATCAGAGAAATTACTATCTATGGCAGCGATGGCCTTGCAAGACCTACTTCTTAAATAATAAGACTTGAATGTTGAAATGACTCCTTGATCCACGGGCTGCAGAATGGATATTGTTAGGAGGCCTAAAAACAACATTAACCTCACTGTGCATGTCCATCACAGCTCTTGGGTGACCAGGTACGTTGTCAATGAGCAATGCTATTTTGACAGGCATCTGTTCTTCTTTTTTTTTAATCCTCACCCGAGGATATTTTTCCATTTTTTGTACAGATAGAATGGGAGGGAGAGAGAGGAAGGGAGAGAGAGAGAGAAACATCGACATGAAGGGACACATCGAGTGGCTGCCACCCGCACAACCAACCAGGGCCGGGGACAAACTGCAACCGAAGTACATGCCCTTAGCGGGAACCAAACCCGGGTCTCTCCGGACCGCAGGCCGACGCTCTAACCGCTG